CTTCTGTCTGTGAATGGATTACTTCACTTAACATAAGGCACTCCTATTTTATCTCTTTTGGTGCAAATGGCAGGTTTTAATTCTGTATGGCTGAATACTCTGTTGTGTATATACGTATATTTTTTATATTTGTGTTAGCTTTCTGTGCTGTAACAAAACACTTGTGATAACTTTTGAGGAGGAAATTCTTTTGGTTCATGGTTTCAGAGGTTTCAGCCCATGGTTGCTTGGCTCCAATGCTTTTGGGCCATTGTGAGGCAGTACACTCATAGTAGGAAGTAACTGACAGAGTACAGAAGTTCACCTCATGGCTGCCAGGAAACAAAGGAAAAAGGAAGGGCAAATGCCATTTCCTTTACAGGCATGATTTTTGTAAGGGGCATCATTATCCTACTGTCCCTTTTGACGTTAATGACAATGGCCATACCACACTGAAATGGGAGCTTGGGAACTGAAGTCTCTTGCTCATTAGCCATGTATGCAGCGAAATACTTAGGGAATGTCAGTATGAAATTTAGGAAACAAATAGATCTTAGATAACTGTTGATCTTTTAGGTCCTAAAATTTGGGTGGAGCTAACAAAGGTGGCTAAAAGATTTTAAAAATGCAAATATGCAAGAAAAGTCTCCAAAGACAACCACAAAACATGACTGGGAATCCAGAGAGGGTAGCACTATCTAGTTACCTATGACACAGATCTTTTACATAATGATAAATTTTTATTTTGAAATAATTTCATACTTACAGAGAAGACTCAAGCATAGTAAAAACAACTACCCTAGCCTCCATGAACTATATAAGAGCAGGTGTCTGATATATTATAAAACCACAATATAAAACATCAAAATGAGAAAGTGAACATTGATTCATTAACTATCAAATAACCCAAAGCCTCCATTCAGATTTTACCAATTGTCCCAAAAATGTCTTTTGAAGCAAAAAGATCATGTATTCCATTTAGTATACATAATTCTTTTATCTTCTTCCACTAGAATCATTCCTTAGTCTATTCTTGAATTTCATGAATGACATACTTAAAGATTACAAAGAGATTACAATAGTTCAATTCAGGTTTCTCTGACTTTTCCTCATGATTAAATTTCAGCAATCATTTTTGGGACAGGGATATCCCACAGAGATGTAACAGTTGATGAAATCCATTCTCTCAGGTGGTACACAATTTCTCCCACTACTAAAGGTAGCTTTTGAAGGAAGGCACCAAACACCTAACATACACAACTTTCAAAGGTCAAAAAGTTTATTTTTGCTCATGTTTTTACAGGTTTCAGTTTATTGCTGGCATTCAATAAGGCAGAAACATTATGGTGGAACAATGTGGTGGAGGAAAGCTGCTTACCTTATGGGAGTCAGAAAGCAGAAGCGGTTTAATTGGACTGCTAGGCTACTGGTTGAATAAACAGACTAATTGTTTCAATTATTACAAGTATTGGCAAGGAAGAGACAGAGAGCAAGGGATAGGCCTGTAGTAAGAATATGCCCTTCCAAGTTATGCCCTCAGTGACCTAACCAGGATCCACCTCTTAGCAGCACATTCACTTATGAACTCATCAACAGAGTAACACACTGTTGAGGCCAGTTTTCTCATGAGATAATCTTTTTCAAAAAGCCCTCCTTCTGAACACATGAGACTTTTGATGGGCATTTTTGATGCAAGCCACAAAAATTGGTCACCTTAATTTTGAATAAAATGCCATCTGCCAAATTTCTCTACTATAAAGTAACTATTTCCTTTGGTAATTATTTTTTGGTAGGTATTTATCCCATTCCACATAGACTTTCACTGACTTGTTTCAGCATCTATTGATGTTTCTTTGCCAAATTAATTATAATAACTGCTAAATACTGATTTTTCTAATTATACCACTCCTGCTCTATTTATTTAGTTGTCTGGAAGGCAAAGCATTGTTTCTTCCATTTATTTTATCAGCTCATGGTTTTTAAATTGAATTATAACTCATTTTTATCATTTTTACATTGAATAGTGGCCAGTGAGAGTCCTTTAAGCTGGCTTTTGTTTTTTGTTTTAGATTACCAGGAAAGTAGCAGTGGTGTTAGATTCCTTGTTTACTATTCACCTAGTTTCCCACATTAACATCTTAAGTAATTATGACTCATTTGTGACAAAGTAAGGAACCAACACTGATACTTTCCTATAACTAAACTTCATACTTTATTCAGGTTTCACTTTTTCCTTATTGTCCTTGTTCTGTCCTAAGATTCCATCTAGAATGCCATATTACTTTTATCTCTCATGTTCCCATAGCCTCCCTGATCTGTATTCTATACCCCTTTGTTCTGTCATAACAAGAAGTTTCTGGTTATTCTTGTGCTTTCCCTGCCCAAACTCTGGGATCAATCATTTCACCAAAGATCCTTGCCTTCTTTTAATGGCAAGTTGTATTAAAGAATCTTTTTTTTTTTGTATTAAAGAATCTTGATCTTGGCACTTAACTGTGCTTATTGCTATGGAACTGTCATTGCTTCACATCCTCTTTGTTCCTTTAGATGAGGCTAGGGAATTCACACATATGCACAAACACACACCTGTATTTCTATTACCATATATAATGAAAATGACAACTGCACACCGATAACATTATTTTCAGTCCAAAACTCTACTACTCCATTTTCATATTTGTAACTCCTATCTCTGATCACAAGAAATTTAATTTGCATTATTTGCAATGTATTGCCAGAAAAACTCTTATATAATTTCTGATCATTACTGATGTCCTTTCACTCTGCCTAGGCTCTGATGGCCTGCATGTGGGTGCTACTGTTACTCAGCTGCTGATTAAATGCCATCTCCTTATCCCCCATATTTTCACCTTCTGCCTAATGTTCCACTTTGCTTAGTCCCACTTATCAGCGTGAAATATTAAAGAAGAGTGATGAGACAATGAAGTGTAAGGAAAAATGAGGAAGAAAGGAGGCATCGGATTTTACTGTTAGGATGCATAGATGGATGCATAGACCAAACATAAAGGGAACTAATTTTGGAAAATTCTAACAGCCATTAGAAAAGCGACCCTAGGACAAGAAATAGTGTTTTCAAATGGCTGAAAGCAAATAAATGTCACCATAGGACAATGTAACTAGCAGAAGAATTTTAGAAAAAAAAGCTAGTGTAAAAGTTTGTTAACAATAAGAAAAATTCATTTAACAGTGAGAGAATGCATTATTTTAACACATATAATTTCCAAAGTTGATCATTCACTTAAAGGAATCTCCAAAAGACACTTCTGGACAAAGCAAATAATCTCAGAAAGAAGTATGTAGATGGAAGAAAGATGTGAGCAAAGAAATTGGGAATTTGTTGGATAGGTTTAAATACTAACTTTTATAAACAATATCCAACTTGTGGCATTAAAAACCAAATGCTTGACAATATTAATGAAGGATGCTGAATTTCTTCAAAATACAGGAAAAAAAATTCTGAACAGTATTTGACTTTTAAAAAGCAATTTAAAAAAGTATAAATTCCAGAGCCAGAATTACAAAACTCAAATCTCAGCACTGCCATTTACCAGCTGTATTATCTTGGGAAAATTACTTAACCTTTCTGTGTGTCAGTTTTTAAAACGGGACAACAGACGCACACTAGTATCTAACTCATAGGGTCACTGTATTAAATTTACATAAAGAATAGTGTTTTTACAAGCACCTTACTGTTACCGTAGTTTATTAGACTATGTACTTGACAATTTTCATTATTCCCACTGATTCTTTTACACAGAAAAGAAGGCATTCCTGATCTGCTTTCATTCCCTTTTTCTGAGTTCCACCCTTCTTTCCATTCTAAGATGTGCTAAATTCCCTCCTAGTTTAGGATTTTGCTGAGGGATTCTTTTCTACCTAGAATACTTGGTTATCCACCTGCCAGTTAGCCCATCCCTTATCTTTGGCTAAAAAAAAAAAAAAAAAAAAAAAAAAAAAAAAATCGGTGGAGAACACTTTTAACTCCTGTGGTGTTTCTACTGTTTTGTCTTTTTGAGACAGGGTTTTGGTTTGCAGTTCAGGCTGCCCTTGAACTCGCAGCCATTCTCCTGCCTCAGCCTGTTGGTTGCTGGGATTACAGGCTTGCAAACAAACAAACAAAAAGAATAGTGTTTTTAACACTTTTTCACGCGAGTGAAACCTTAGTCACAATAATAAACTTCCCAAACAGAAGACAAGTAGGAAGTCAGGCGAGGAAAAAAATTTAAAAAGACTTTGTCACTGGATTAAAAAAACAAAGCCAAACAATATACAGAAAGATCCAGTGGTTGAGAACTTTCTACTACCTCACTTTTCCCGCCTTGGTCAACCCACCTTTCTCTCCAGCCTTGTCCTGCCCACTCCACAGTCCCTTCTCCACCCTTCTTCCCCGGGAGAGGCCAGAAATCCAATCCATTTCCAGTGTTTCTCGGTCAGCCACGCGTTAGCACAAACAGACTGCAATGAGGTCTGCAGGACAAGGGGCGGGTCTTCTGGCTCCTGCCGTTGCTCATTGGCTCTACCTTCCCAGGAGCGCCATTGGTGAGTAGTTGCTTATGTAGACGAGGATATAAAGGGGAGGGCTTGTGACGCAAGGGCTCTTGGGGAAGTGCGTATTAGTTACTTCCCGGCGTTTTCTCTGAGCCGCTCTGCTCCGACAAGGTAGATTTTGATGTCCTGCAGTCGCCGCATTGTTGCCGCGGGCTCTCTGCGACACCCACTACTACTCCTAGGCCTGCAGCCGCCGCCGGTGTCGCAGCCACGGGACAGGCTGTATGATTAGGTCACAGTCTTTCATGAGTAAATTCATTCCTTTCTGTGATATTCTTAGTCATATATTTATGGAGTTTCTGAAGGGTCTTGGAGATTACTGCCAAGCACAGCACGGCCTTGATGAGGATAAGTGAACGTGTAAAGTCATATCTGCTACCGCGGGAGGCCCTTGCAAAACTTGGACTGAGAAGTGAAGTCACCAGAGCATTTTGTGAGAATTGTGGCTGGATGAGGTAAACCTCCTTACACTTCCTTTCCAGTGACTCAGTATGAATAAATAGCTGCACCCACTTGTTAGGAGGTTCCTTTCATTTCTTACCACTTCCAACATCATATTCGAAGCTCTGAGACTTTCAGTTGGAGTACACCGGTGTGGACTTCAGTTTCTTGACAGTTCTGTCTTCCAAAATTTTTCAGCTTTTCCTCATAACTTTTTAAACTAGATTAATATGGCGCCAACGAATTGCCTCGCTCCTGTGGAAGTCACATACAGGAACATGAGATTTCTTATTACATACAACCCAACCAGTGCAACCTTAAACAGATTTATTGAGGAGCTTAAGAAATATGGAGTTACCACAATAGTGAGAGTGTGTGAAGCAACGTATGATCCTGCTCTTGTAGAGGAAGAAGGCATTCAGGTTCTGGATTGGCCTTTTGATGATGGGTCATCGCCATCTAAACAGATTGTTGATGACTGGTTGAATCTTGTAAACATTAAATTTCATGAAGAACCTGGTTGTTGTATTGCTGTTCACTGTGTTGCAGGTCTTGGGAGAACTCCAGTGCTTGTTGCCCTAGCCTTAATTGAAAGTGGCATGAAAAATGAAGATGCAGTGCAGTTTATAAGACAAAAGCAGCGCGGAGCATTTAACAGCAAGCAACTTCTGTACTTAGAAAAATACCGTTCTAAAATGCGGCTGTGCTTCAAAGACTCCAGTGGTCACGGATACAACTGTTGCATTCAATAAAACTTGGCTGCATGATGTTACATAGCCTTGGAAGTGGAAATCGAGATAGATCTAATTTATTGTTCATGTTAACCAACGTACTGGCTTAGTGAGTCTAATGAATCTTTGTTAGGAATATTGGAAAGCCAAAATTTTGACAGAATTGAATTTTTTTAATGTTTTTCTTACCACCTTCCATGCCGGAAAAAGTATGTGAGAGATTTAACGAGATTAGGTGCCAAGATACTCAGCATAATAGCTGCATATTTTGACTTGTATGAAGTTAAAATCCTAACAACTATAAAGAGCACTTTAGAAATTTTACTCCCACTTAAGGTATGGTTTATTTATTAAATGATTTAAAACATTGCAAATAAAGCCTATACAGTCATTTACCGCTCCTTTATTCTTACACCTAGCATTTGTTCTGATGCACATCAGGTTTGCCCAGGTTTTGTTGGCTTCTTACCCAGTGTCATATGATTAATGTCTCCCTATAAATCTCATAGTTAGGAAAATCTCCATTTTGAAAGATCAACTCCTAGTTAAAAGTCCACTTAAATCCAAGTTGACTAGAGCACACATGTTTAATGTCTTTAACTTAAAAAAAAAAAACCTTTGCAATAAGTGCATAATTTTGTGTGTGTGTGGGGGGGGGAGAGGTGCAATTTTAAAGAGATAATCCTAAAGACAGAATGGGAAGAGATTATGAAGTATTTCTAGTAAAATGTTACCTTTGTCTTGTAGAAGATGTGTCTAATTTAGCACAGGTTGAGATGGTTTGTAGATGGTTTGTAGATGGTTTCTATTAATGAATTAGACTTTTAATAGCATATGATTTTAAAAATTATAACTTAATATTGGGATAATTGATGAGTTTTATTATGAAATTGATAAAATAGTAATATGTTTTAATGTTAATATAACCATATTTTCCAACTGCCTTGGAATAAGATTAGAGTTCTACAGGAGAAATGTCAGTGTTCACCTATACCAGCTATCTGAATGAATAATGAATTGAAAGAGAAAGGGAATTCTAAAATGGTATGCCTGTGTTAACATCAGTAAAAGGTAGAAGAAAATATGAAACTAGAGGTGATATAAAGTAGAAGCAAATATAAGCAAGTATACGAAAATAAAAAATAAAAGTAAAAACAAAGATAAAATCACTGCTTAAAATTTTAAAAGTTTGAATTCAACAGAAGTCATAGCAGCTCTGAACTTAGGCACTCAATAACACTGATCCAAAATATATAAAGCAAATATGGATAAAACTACATGGGAAATTGTAAAGATTACTATACCTGTAGGAAATTTTACTATCCTTTCTGAAACCCAGTAGACAAAAGTCAGTAAGGATATATATTTAAGTAAAACAAATAGCTTGATCCCATTAACTTGTAAGGGACAGTGTATCCATCTGTGTAAAAATATATTTTTTTTTGATCCTATATTTGACCAAATGAATTTCAGCAAATTTTAAAACCATTTAAATAATTCAAAAACAACTTCTCTGAGCCTAATTTAATTAAGCTAGGAAAAAGTTATATATATATATATATATATATATATATATATATATATATATATAACTGGATTTTGAAAGTCTGTATCTGGGGACTTCTGTATTGGGATAGGAAGTAATAATAGACCATGGGAGCTCAAGACACTTCCTGCAGCACCAGAAAAATGTGAAAATTTTTTTTCAGAATTCATGTTTAGGGATATGTGAGTGTTATGAAAGCAGTACGTATCAGATGGATAGAAATTCCAGAGGGGAGTGCCTTCCTGAAGTGAGTCATTTTCTGTTTTGGAGTTTACTGACTCCATATATGTATTAAAAGGATCTATATATGTATAAAAAGGATCTCTCTTAAGATTGAGAAATCCAGTAAGTCTTTCAGTGATTATTAGGGATTGATGTAACAGATTGAAAAATTGAAAAACTCAGCTAGTTTTTTTTCCATCTGTTTCAACTTATGTTGTCTATCAAACAGATGCTGAATATGAGATTTGTATTCAGAGTTTTATTGAGGAGTCTTCTCAGGGAACACCACCTATAAAAGGACCAAAAAAAGCAGCATGGGCAGAAGATGTTGATGTTTATATGTAGAGTCACAGTAGGAACTTCAGCACTCTCAGTGTCTTGAAGATGTCATGACTATTTGGAGATGTCTGGAATTTAGTAAGGCTGGGCTTTGAATTCTTGACTGATATCCGTTGGATGCAGATGATGGCTGGGTATGATGTTATAAACTTGAGTGAAGTATCTTCCCTTGTGTCTTAGTTACTTTTTACTTGTCGTTGAGACAAAATACCTGAAGCCCAAAGTTGGGAAAGGAAAGGTTTATTTCTTACAGTTTTTGGAGGTTTCAGTCCACACTCAGTTGGCTCCCAGGTAGCCAGGCATGGCTGGCCCGCCTTTCATGGCAGCTGCAAACAGCAAGCTCAAACCAGCAAAGAGAAAGACACACCTTCTTTCTGCCATTACATCACATCCTGGTTCCACCCCTTTGTGGGTGGGGCACTGACACCATCAATCCAAGCACTAGACAGTGAATGAATAACAAATGCACAATTCAAACTCGTGAGGCCTGGGGGACACAGACATAAACCACGACACCTTGGTGAAAGGTAATTCTCAGAGAGGGATGTAGTTTTGAACCCTCTGCTACTAATGGCAGATGAGTTGAATGAGTGTGTCAGACCGGAAGAAAGACCTAAGTAGTATAACCATAATATTATGCTTGCTGAGTTCTGGAACTATATATGAGACCCTGAGGAGTTAGAGTGAAGAAGACGATGATAGTGGAAAATATTCCTTAATCTCATAATGTTTAGGCAATAGTATCTTGCTAGACAAAGATGTTTTAATTTCTCCACATCCTTATCAATATGTAGTCATTCTGGTGAGTGTGAACTGGTATCCTATTGTGGTTTCAGTTTTCGTGCAACGTTGTTAAACATATTTCTTTATGTTTATTCACCATTCACAATATTTTGCTCATTTAAAAAAAAGGAGTTGAAAATGAGTTGTAAGGGTTCTCTGTATATTCTGCATGTAATGCCTTTATTGGATATGTAATTTAGAAGTATTTTCTCCCACTGTGCTACTCACTTGTTGAAATGTGATGTTTCAAAATGCAAAGTTTTAGATTTTGATCAAGTATGATCTTTTTATTTTATGAATCATGCTTTATTTTATTTTACAGAAAAGGTAAAACAAAATTCCATATCAAAATAATAGAACAATAGTAGTTAACACATTACACATTGTTATCTTTAAAGCAGTTGCTCAGGGTATAAGATATGAACATAAAAATTTCTTCAATTGATATTAGCACAAATCTTCCTTTTTAATGAACTGAGACTAATAGTATAATGACTTGCATTTTTATCTTTTCCCCACTATCCTTTCTCCTTTTACCCATCCTACTTCCTTTTAAACAGTTTCTTCTCATTTCACAATATCTAATGTATATTTCAGACTTTACTTACTCTTACACAAGGGAGACAATAACATGTTTATACATGTGAGTCTGATTTATTTCACTTATGAGTATGATTTCAGGTTGCATCCATTTTCCTATAAAAGTCTCAAGTTTATCTTTACGGCTGAGTATTACTCCATTGTATAAAAACCAATTTTTAAAATTCATTCCTTGGTTGATGGACATTTGGGTTATTTCCAAGATCTAGCTATCCAATTGTGCTGCTATAAACATGGGTACACATACATTGTTATGGTATGATGCTTTTAAGCTTTTGGGAGGATATCCAGAAGGAGACTAGCTGGGTCAAATGGTACCTCTGAAGCTAGTTTTTTGAGGAATCACCAAACTGATTTCCACAGTGGTTGTACCAGTCTACATTCCCACCAACAGTGGAGAAGGATGCCTTTTTCCTCATAGCCCCTCCAGCATTTGTAATTGGTTGATTTCTTAATGGTTGCTTTCTGGGGTGAAATGGAATAGATTGTTTTAATTTGCATTACTTGAATTATCAGTGATGTTAAACATTTTTCGTATATTTATTTGACATTTTTATTTCTTCATCTGAGAAGTGCATATTCATCTCAGATGCCCATTTTTGGATTGGGGCTTTCAATTTGGTGGCTTGATTTTTTTCAATTCTTTATATGTTCTAGATAGAAGTTCTTTCTCTGATGGACAATTGGTTAAAATTTGTCTCACTCTGTAGGTTGTCTTTTCATTTTGTTTTGCATAACAAAATGAATATCCTCCCAAAAGCATTAATGTCTTTTTGTTTCTTTTGCTTTGCAAAAGCTTTTTAATAAAATGAGATTGCAGTTGTTGATTCTTTGAAGTTTTTCCCATGAAGTCTGGGTTTTGTTGATGAACTCTCTGCCTATACTTATGTCTTCAAGATTTCTACCTACTTTCTCTTCCAGTAGATTTAGTGTTTCTCTTCTAATATTTTGTATCCTTGAACCATTTTTGACTTTAGTGTAGTGCATGATAGGCAAGGGTTTAGTTTTAGTGTTTGGTATGTGGAAAGTCAGTTTTCCTAACACCATTTATTAAAGAGGATGTTTTTCTTCCAGTGAACATATTTGACCCCTTTGTCAAAGATAAGGATGGCTGAGTATGTTTATGGTTGTGCATCTTCTAATATTTTCTACTGGTCCTCAGGGTTTTTTTTTTTTTTGCCAGTACCTTGATGATTTTATCACAGTAGCTTTGTAACATAATTTCAAGTCTAGGATTGTGATACCTCCTGCCTTGTGTTTATTGCCCAGGATTACCTTTGGTATTTTCGATCTCTTCTGGTTCCAGATGAATTTTGGGGACTGTTTCTTGAGTTCTGTGAGCTATCCTAATGGTAATTCAATTAAATGGTAATTTGATTAAATCTGTATACCAATTTTGGGATTATGGTCATTTTCATTATGTTGGCTTTTCCTATCCATAAGCAAGGGATATATTTCTATTTTCTGATATTCTTTTTGATCTCCTTTTGCAGAGTACTGTAATTTTCAATATATAGATCATTAACTTCCTTTGGTAGATTGACTCCTAAGTATTTCATTTTTTTGGATGCTATTGTGAAGAGTGTGATTTCCTGAATTTTTCTCTCAGTGAGTTGTTTGTGTACAGGAATATGATTGATTTTTGAGTGTTGAATTTGTACCCAGCTACACTACTAAATCTGGTTATTAAATCTGGATGTCTTTTGGTGGAAATTTTGGGTCTTCTGTATAGCCCAATATAGGCCCAGAAAAAAAGCCACACCCTGAGGCTCCACTACCATCAGGGGAGCATCAGTGAACTTCTGCTCCATGTCGCCCCACCACTCCTTGAACCCCAGAATGGAGGAACCCAGTTGCTTAGCCTAATCCCCTACACCAAGGGACTGGCAGCCAATATAGGA